CCAACTCAAAAAAAAAAAAAAAAAGAGGTGAGTATAAAACTCTCAAAAGAAAACGCAGGAGTACATCTTCACAACCTCAGATTTAGAAATGAATTCTTAGGTCTGATGCTAAATGCACAAGGAACAAAAGAAAAAATAAATTGGACACCATCAAAATTTAAAACTTCTATACTGCAAACAATACCACAAAGAAATTAAAAAGACAACTTACAGAACGGGAGAAAATTCTGGCAAATCATGACATACAAAAAGGAATTTGTATCCAGAATACATAAAGAATTCTTACAACTTATCAATAAAAAAAAAAAAACCCCAAGTATAAAATGGACAAAGGATTTTAACAGTCATTTCTCCAAAGAAGATATATGAAAACTTGCTCAATAATCATTAGGAAAATACAAGTCAAAGCCACAATGAGACACCACTTCACACCCAGTAAAATGGCTAGAAACAAAAAGAAAGACAACCAGTGTCAGTGAGGATGTGGAGAAAATGAAACCCTCCCACAGTGCTGCTGGGATCGTCAAGTGGTATCAATTATGTCAAAAGGCTAAGCAGAGTTACCACAAAACCCAGCCATTACACTTCTAGGTAAACAGCCAAGAGAAATGAAACCATGTCCACACAAAAACTTGGATATGAGTGTTCATAGCAGCATTATCCACAATAGCCAAAAAGGGGAAACAACCTCAATGTCTATCAGTGACACATGGGGGAAAAAAATGTGATATATATGTGTGTGTATATGCATGTATGTGTATGTGTGTATGTGTGTGTGTGTGTATCTCCACAAAATGAATTATTTGACCATAAAAATGAACTACTGAAACACGTAACGTGAATGAGCCTGAAAAAAACTGTAAAAGTATATGCAAAAGAGCACATATTCTATGATTGTATTACTATGAAACATCCAAATAGGCAAATCTACAAAGACAGAAAGCACATTAGTGATTGCCAGGAGTGGGGCAGGTAGAGGAGTGAATGAGGGGTGAATGCTAATAGGTACAGGGTTTATTTCTTGGATGCTTAAAATGTTCTAAAATTGGATTGTTGTGACGGCTGCACAATTCCTTGAGTGCAGTAAAAACTAATAAATGGGGTAACTATATGTGAATTGTATCTCAATAAAGCTGTTAAGAAAAAAGAACAAAAGGGGTGCCGGTTAGTGGCATTACTAACCCCAATGAGAGTTTCAGTTATACCTTCTAATCATACTTTTTAGGTCTGTATTTAACATCTTTGCTAAAGGGATTGGGGGGGGTCTTTTACTGAAGCTTATAATTAAGTTAATTATGTGCTGAGGAATCTAATATTAAGCCCTAATAAGGCTAACAGACACCCCCCCATAGATTTAACCAATACATCCACCAAATTTCTGGTATACCATTTCTTTTTTAAAGTTCATTTGCATCTTTGTTAATTAAGCTGCCCCTCCCCTTAATCTCTTTAAAAATAAAAGTTAATACTTTGGCTTACCTCCGATCTTCTTTTTCATCTCTATTCTTTCACTTTCTTTAAATAAATATACATTCCAAATACAAATTTATTCTTCTGACTTTGTCTTTCCTTTAGGCAGTGTTTTGTATATCTACTCTGTCAAAGTAGCTTTAATTCAAGGCTACTAGTATATACCTAAGAAACTCCTTTTTAAAATACAATGGATTGAACTGGGCTCTGTGATGATGAAAGGCAGTACCATTGATAATATTAAGACATCACCTCATTTAATGAAAGACTGTGCACTTTGGCCAAAAACAATTGGAACAAGAATAGTAAATATGCTCATTATGATGTTACAAAACTATAGTCTTAGAATGAAAGGGTTTACTTTCTAAATGGCTAACTATCCCTCAAGGCTCTGAATATGCTTACTAGGCAATTAAACTTGGAAGATATTTCACTGTGTGCCTGAATCTGCAATTATTATTTTGAACCCCATTAATGAACTAACAATTCAAAAATGTAATGTTTTAAAAAAAGACAAGGGATGAATCCAGCTTCATTCAAAGAAGCATATTTTACAAATATATTTTAAATATTTGCAATGTCATTTATATCACTAGTAGAAAAAGTAAAAGAAATAAAATTCATGTTAAAGTAGCTTCTGTTTCATAGGAAAAAGGGTCTTAACCGGGCTCAATGGCTCAGCCTGTAATCCCGCGCTTTGGGAGGCAGAGGTGAGTGGATTGCCTGTGAGTTCGAGACCCGCCTGTGCAACTTGGTGAGACCTCATCTCTACAAAAAATCAAAAAATTAGCACGTGGTAGTGCGCGCCTGTAGTTCCAGCTACTTGGAAGGCTGAAGCGGAAGGATCGCCGGAGGCCAGCAGGTCGAGGCTGCGGTGGCCAGGAGCGTGCCACTGCACTCTAGTCTGGGTGACAGAGTGAGACTCCAACTCAAAAAAAAGAAAGAAAAAAGAAAAAAAGGTCTTATGGAGAAACAATATGCAAACATTTTTAAAATGAGGTCAAGCTCAATAAGAAAGTAAGAGAAAAATTAGGGTGAGTTTAGTAGTTCACAAATTAAAAGGGAGAAATACTCAGCCTCCACAACAAAAACTGAATATCAAGAAAAAATCATATTAAGAAAGATGGCTCATAAAATAAAAGTAGATACTAATTTAAACAAAAGAAAAACAGAGTTGTCAATTTAAAAGAACTTACAGTTTTCATTAGCATTGAAGCCTCTAAGAATGGCCTTCAGTTCTTGGAGCTTCTGATGAGCTCTTGCATGGACACTGTCAATCAGGAGTTTTTCTATTGATAAGTGATCAATCTGTATAAATAAGAAGAGAATCATATATGCAATTTAAACATTGTTACTTTTTTTTTTAGTCGGAATGTCATTCGATTGCCCAGGCTGGAGTGCAGTAGCACAATCATGGTAACTGCAGCTTCCTGCTGGGCTCTGGCGACCCTTCTGCCTCAAACCTTCCAAGTAGCTGGAAATACAGGCATGCACCACCACATTCACTAATGTTTTTAATTTATTGTAGAGATGAGGTCCTGCCATGTTTCTCAGGCTGGTCTCGAACTCCTGAGCTCAGGCAATCCTCTCATCTGCCTCCCAAAGTGCTGGGAATACAGGCATGAGCCACCACACCCAGCAAACAATTTTACTTTAAAAGCCCAAAAGTAGATTACCATGCTTCAAGATAGTTCTTTTTAGAATCACATTGATTAAGTGTTAACCAGTAAAAGAAAGCAAACATAAAAGAGTTAAAAATTAACTTACATGGTACTGAGTTAAAAATTAACTACAGTTTTAAAGCTGCCAATACCATGCAAGTTAATTTTTTTTTTTTTTTGAGTTGGAGTCTCACTCTGTCACCCAGACTGGAGTGCAGTGGCCGCTCCCGGCCACCACAGTCTCGACCTGCTGGGCTCCGGCGATCCTTCCACCTCAGCCTTCCAAGTAGCTGGAACTACAGGCATGCGCTATCACGCCCAGCTAATTTTCTGATTTACTGTAGAGATGAGGTCTCGCCAAGTTGCCCAGGCGGGTCTCGAACCCACAGGCTCAGGCAATCCACTCACCTCAGCCTCCCAAAGTGCGGGATTACAGGCTGAGCCACGGAGTCCAGCTGTAAATTAATATTTTAATAAGTATAGCTGAAGATAGTATACATCAGTTATCATGGTGCTCAAACACCGACCTTAAAAATAAAATGGAGATCTGATCTAAATTATAAAATTCGAAAGAACATCATAAAAATTATTTATTATAGTATCAGATGTTTAAAAAACCAACAAACGTAGAAGTATAACATTCAATTAAAACAAGTTTCATTAAGAGTTTTAAGAACAATTCAGTATTTCTTAAAATCTGTGCTCAAAGTATAAATGATAAATTAGTTTAACCAAACCAATATTAAAATACATTGAGTTTTTTTTTACCTTCATGGCTCTTTCTACTAATTTGGAATCAGAAGCTGGCAAAGGAGGATCATGAAAAATCTGTAAAGGCTTGGAGACATCATTCTCATCGATTTTAATTGTAACTTTGTGAACAGAGGCTGTCCCAGTCTTTCTCCCAAGAACCTGTTGACTAAAGAGAAGAAAGAAACATTAAGAATTTTTTTTAATTCTAACTTTTAGAATAAAAAAGAGACAATCTATCGTGTACTTCAGCCAGAGCCCGGAACACGGTAGGTACTCAATGTTTATGGAGGGGATAAATTAATAATGGGAAAAGAATGCAATATTTTATTTATTGCTTTTTTTTTTTAAGTCAGGGTCTCACTCTGTTGCCCAGGCTGGAGTGCAGTGGCATAATCATGGCTTACCACAGCCTTGACCTGGAACTACAGGTGCACTTTTTTTGGGGAGAAAATCGATAGCGGGCTGTTTATAATTCCTGATTCCCTGTTGGAACTTTGCTCAATTCCCATTTTCTTTCTTTGTGTCCCCCAATCTTATTATCCCAGATGATTCCCATTGCTTTTATAAAGGAGTCAGAGGTGAACAGACATCACTTAAAAGACAGGTAACTTTGTTTGGGGGTTCTTTTTTGTGTGTGTATATGTTTACTTTAAAATTAGATGTCTATGTTTTTTAGAAAATGTAATAAATCAGTTGTAGATCAGCCTGGGCAACAGAGTGAGACCGTGTCTCTACAAAAAATAAAAAATAAAATAGACGGGCATGGTGCCGTGCACCTATAGTCCTAGATATAATTCAAACTGAAAAACTGTGATAAGCATGTACATTTTAAAAAAGATATTCAACAATCTAACCTAATGATCTTTTATCAATTTGGTATAAGCTCAGAGTAAACTAATCTCTCAAACTTTTTAAGAATAGTAAGCCTTAGTACAAACAGAAAAATGTCTAGGTATTTAAAACATGTCATGTTCTAAGACAGTTGTCAATTATGGATGTCCTATGTGGTCTATGCCATACCATGGGACCTTATCACCCAAACGCATGTTACTAGAGGTGCATGGCTACTGGTACACAGTCGTGTCTCAGTACATGCTGGGGATTAGTTCCAGGATACTGTCAGACCAAAATCCACACACACTCAAGTCCTGCAGTCAGCCCTGCAGAAACCGTGTGTATGAAAAGTCGGCCCTTCTTATATGCAGGTTTCACATCCTGCAAATTGATCCATGAATAGGTGGACCCTCGCAGTTCAAGCCCATGTTGTGCAAGGGTCAACTGTATATAAAATCTGATGTATGAAAGGAAAAGAGAAACAAAAAGAATATTTACAATCAAAACAGAACCAATTTTACTTACTTCCAAACTGAGAGGGAGAGGCACTTTCCAGCATGATACCTTTCCACCTGCACAAGGTCACCCCACCGCTCTCGGATTAACATTAGAGTTTGGGAATGTAACACTTCTAACTGAAGTGATAAGCAGAAAGAATCTGATAGACCTTGTTAAGTAAATTTAACTTATTACTCCAACAATTAATCAAGTATAGGCAAACTTTAACAAAAGCTGTATACCTGAAAAACTAACCATAAAAGAAATTTCTAGAATATTTCTCCAATGGTTCACCCTAAAAAGTGTTATAATTTGTGGTATCATTTTAGAAAAAGATTTTATATACATCATATATACAATACATACCACATATACAATGTGTAAAAAATATACAATATATATTTATATGTGTAAATAAATATATGAACACATGAGGGGTCCCCAAAACACCTGAATTTACAAAAAACTGTATATTTACTTTTACATGTTTAAACTTCAGTCACCTTCAAAGTAATCTCCATTTAATGCAATACACCTATTGAGACGCTTTTTCCACTGCTCAAAACAGTTTTTAAACTCATTAATTTTTATGCCTTTCAGTGCTTTTAGTGTTTTGGGTTTCACCTCTTTCACATCAGAAAAACATTTCTTTTTGAGGACTTTTATCAGTCGGGGAAACAAAAACAAAGTTGCTAGAGCCAGGTCAGGTGAATAGGGAGAGTGGGACACAAGGGTCATGCTGTTTTTGGTCAAAAACTGCTGAACACTCCTCAGCACAGTGTGGGCAGGTGTGCTCATAAATTATCCATCACAAAATGGGCAAGTGCAAGAAGATATACGGGCAGCCAACAGACACATGAAAGAGTGCGCAGCCTCACTAATCATCAGAGAAATGCAAATCAAAACCACATTGAGATACCACCTAACCCCAGTAAAAACATCCATCATTAATAAAACTAATAACAGATACTAGCAAGGATGCAGAGAAAAAGGAATGCTTCTACACTGCTGTTGACAATGCAAACTAGTACGATCTCTATGGAAAACAGTGTGGCAGCCGGGCTCGGAGGCTGAGCCTGTAATCCCATGCCTTGGGAGGCTGAGGTGAGTGGATTGCCTGAGTCCGCGGGTTCGAGACCCGCCTGGGCAACTTAGCGAGA